CCCCCCCCCCCCCCCCCACTGCCACCCTTCTTTGTTTCTTTGGGGTGAGCTCCCCCCTGGAAACTCGCCACCTTCAGAGATGAGGGCCAGGGATGGTAAATTGTAAATCAGGAAGTGTGGTGCACTCCCAGGGAATGGGATTACGGAAGCTTAGATTGCAATTTCTTTGCTGCTTGCTGCCACCTTTGCTGTAATATCAATTTCTCCGGGAGAATATTGTGGGATGGATGCATAAAGCAGTAATAAATCCGTGAATCTCAACACCGACCAGGAATGACAAGGTAAAAAGCCTTTATGTGGTGGTTATGTATTAAAGTACAGTTCTGATATCTAATCCTGACTATTATATCCCTCATGAATTTGCCACCCACTTGTGAATATACCCCTTTATTTTGGCTCTTAGACTTGATATTTGTTTCCTGTAAAGTCTCATCACTCCATTTTCTCCTCCTCATCTCCCACCAAACGCTTTAATTTCCGCACTCGAGCTTAAGATATCGATCAAAAATTTAGTCCCTCCTTTATGCAGCCAAGAACCAATCGACTCTTCAAGCCGCCATTAACTTTGGTTGTCATGGATCCCTACACTTGATCAATAAGCTTCACATACCATTAGGGTTCAGGGTGTCAGATGGCTGCCTTGTTCCTTGACTGGACAGGTATAAATCTTTCTTAAAAATTGCCTCAGTCTTGCACTTTTAGTCTTGCGGGTGAAATGTATTCCTTCAGCTTTGACTAGGCGGTGTAGCGAGAAGATATATCTTTAGAGCCACGCTTGTTGCATTGAATGGAAGTTCAGAACTTCCATGTAGCATTTCATAAATCATATACAGGTCTGAATAGATTGCTGGTTAAATTTTTTTGTTAAAACCAGGGTATGTCAACAGCACATTTGTTTACTGACAGTTCCATTACATTTTACCATCAAATGATTACAAATGTATATAAGTGTGTGTATCCTGAACTATATATAGTTGGCAGATTTAGCTGGTCATTATATGTATTTATTAAAATAAAGGTTATTAGTGGAACCCTTAATTTAGGGCCATAGATATATACCACAAGTGTTCGGGGATGACAGGAAGTAGTTTTCCGTGACAGTCATTTTCAGTAACTAATGACATTTTGGCAATCATTACGATACATTCTGTTTTTAGAGAGTCATTTGTCATCCGGCTGACATTTACACTCCTGTTTCAGATTCCCATCAAATTCCTTTTGCCATCAATATTCGTTTTGAAAGGTCAAACCTAATTTAATCCAGTAGTGAAAGACTGGCGTTAGCATCAGTCAGATTCTGAGATTCTAGGGGTGTTGGGGTGTTAGTGAATTAGAATAAATGGCTAGAGAATTTTGGGGAAACAGGGAAGGTGTTTTAGTTGCCTATGTTATATTGATCAGGATCTTCTCCTGGAATCCATAATCCATATCCTGAATTGGGATTTTACAGGATATTCCCCAGTTTGTGTTTGCCTTGTAGAGTACTTTGCCTTGACTACCAGAGCCTTTACCATATTAGGCAGTATGTTTGTGTGTGTGCTTGTGTGTGTCTATATTACCTCATTTCCACAAGTCGTTTGTATGGAAATGTATGATCTGATCTGTATGATTGGCTCACTTATGTAGAGAATCTAGCCCAAAACGTCGAGCCGTCCGTGTTATTAAGCCCGTTTCTGGGTCCAATCGTATAGTATATGTTGATATATGGTTTCCATTGTGTTGAAATGAGGTGTTTGTTCTTGAATAGCTTCTGAATAATGTAGATTTCCCCCCCTTATCTCACCACTTCAGACTCAAGGGCGGGTGAAGGCACGTCCCCCTCTGTGGACCACGCGGTCATCGGGGGTGTCGTGGCCGTGGTGGTCTTCGCCATGCTCTGCCTCCTCATCATCCTGGGTCGATATTTTGCAAGACACAAAGGTAAATATGGAGGACGATCCTCTCTCTTTTTTTGAGGACATACTAAATAGCTAAAATGAGCATGTTTATGCAGGCTAAAGGGAAAAAGATAAAAATAAGAATGCAATTATAATTAAGTTATTTTGTTTGGGGGTGCCTTAAGCATCCTATTACTCTCCATTATCAAAAAACGGCTTCTACTGAAGCTCAATGCTGTAAGTTATTCTGCTTGCTGCCATGGTAAGTTGAATGACCCTAGTGAATAATGTCCTTTTTTTTTTTTGTTTTTTAATTGGTCCCAGCCATTCCATACTTAATCTCGGATGGTGTTGTTCTTTATTATTTGGCCCGAGACTGTTGGAAGGTATCTAATCCCTCTGGGAAATGGAAGTTGAAGAGGTTTGCTTATTTCTTCTGCACGGTGAACTTGACAAGGTTAATTCAGAAGTCTGGTACACTGTTGCCACCCGTTTCGCTCACCTCCTGCAGTGGGGGGGAGGGTGGTGGGGGGGGATGTGTGTATGTTTTTGCCTCTGTTTCAGGATTAAATTGTGAATTGCACCCGAGCTTGTAATTGCCTGAGGTCTTGCCTCAGCCTGACTGGAGACGTTGGATGCGAGCTGATGTACAGGCAGAGAATTTTTGTGGGTGGTCTAGTCTTGGTGAGGGGGGTCCCTTTATCGATACATTAATCCACTGTTGCAAAAGACTGTATCTGTCAGAAAACAACGACTTAGCTCGGAAACTCCAAAACATCCAAAGTACTCAGAATGCATTTTTGGATGGATATTCACAGTTAAATGGTCCACCTTGGTGTGCCTCCTCCCCCCACCCCACCCCCCCACAGGTACTTATTTTACACATGAAGCCAAAGGGGCGGATGATGCCGCAGATGCCGACACGGCCATCATTAACGCCGAAGGGGGCCACAACAACTCGGACGAGAAGAAAGAGTATTACATCTAACGTCGCTGGCCTGCGGTGCCCCTCGTCGGGCCCAGGGCTGCTTTTAGGGGTGGGGGGTGGGAGAAGGTCGGGTGGGTTAGGGTGGGATTGAGAATAGGATGGTTTGGGCTGGATGCGGGGGGAAAGGATTCTGGAGGACAGACGGACGTCGTTCAATCTGCACAGTTTAGGAGGGGAAGATCTGTTAGACCATGTGACCCGGGGAGGTGGGGGTGGGATGGGGGAATGAGAGCGAGAGAGACGTTTCCAGAAATCACTGTAGCGTGCTTCAACATTTAGACACCTCCCAAACCTGCTGGTACAAATTCTGTTCACTTTCGACCATTTTTGCAGACAATTCTGTGCCTTGTTCTGAATTTCTTTTAATTTGTTTTTTTTTTTTTTTTTTTTTTTAACGATTTTTAAGTTTCTAGTGCCACCCCCCACCGCTCCCTGTCCACCCATGTTCCCCGCAGCTTTCCCTTTGTCTATGTTTCATTGGCTTTTCTATGAGGGTAAAATCGCACAGTGGCCCTGTGCGTCCATCCCCAGCGAATCAGCATCCGCCCTTTCCCCTACATGACCATACCGAAAATGTTATATGAAACGCACTTCTATACTGTGAGTAGGCCTTGTAAGTACAAGCTGCCTTCCATCTTTTCCACCCCTCAAGAATTCCCGTCACCATGAGGTTTTCAGTTTTCCATATGACGCTTCTTCCGTGTGATGTCATCGGACTGTAGGTGAGAGACATAATCAAGTCAAAATATCGATAAACATTTTCCCCAGAAAAAAACAAACTTGAATTCTTTAGGGGGGAACACGTGTAAAGAAAGGAGTAGAGGACTGTCGATCCTTAACAGTCATGTGCATTGCATACGTTTTCATTTTTTGGCTCATTTTATTCAACAATCGACAAAATTCATTTTCTTCTGCCATTTGTTCAGCTTATTTTTTTCGAATGAGATATGCCAGTACATCAGAATTATATGTCCATGGATGTGCCACGACTTAATTTCTATTTATTTATTAGTTATTTTTCTACGTTTTTGTTTTTTTTGTATTTAGCTACCATTTCAGCGCCTCTTTCAGTCGCGTGGCGCCAGGCTCGGTAACATTCCTCCAAGCGAGTTCGCTGACGGTGTGTGCCGCCATTTCCCGACGTTCGCTGTTCGTTTGAGCCAGGGCTTGCGAACTCTCAGCTCAATCCGGCCAACATCTGCTGCCGCTAAAAGCGTTTACTCTGCCTCTATTGCAGGTGACAGACTTAACTTCTTAAAACTTGGCTTCGAAAACCCTTCCCCCCGCCCCATACACACACAGACACACTCACCAAATGTAGTCGAGCACTAGATGAGCCCTTGAGGGATAGAAATCCCAGCCCCAGGAATGAAGGATGTTAGTCACATTTACCTTGCATGGATTGAAAGGCTTGAACCATTATCTGCATAAGCAGTACAAATGACGGGACTGTGAGTGGTGCGTCGTAAAGTCCTTTAAGTAGATTTAAGTATGAAAATACGTAAAACACTAGAAGTCTCTAGCTGTCTTTATGTTCAGTATGAAGGAATATCCTCTGGAATTTTATGCTTTACAAAATAAAGAAATACCGTTGCTTTAAATTAGCCATTATTAAAAAAAAAATATCTACAAGGACAGAATTTCAAATTTCCAGAAATATCTGTTGTGGTTACAGCTTGTTTTTCTTCCTTTTTCTTTCTTATTCTTTATTTGCTGCCATTTGGTTTTGTACGTTAGTATATGTCTGGTTTGTACGTTAGGAATGGCGAAGATGATACCTTTTCATGTGTGACGTAATGTTTCATCTGTATAATTAGTGGCTGCAGAGCTGACCCTAACATATATCTTAAATAGCTCACGTCAGTGTCTGGAGATCATTTTGTTCAGCATTTTAGTTTGTTTTGAACACAACACTCAATTCAATATTATTTTGTGACACCAGCTAAAAGCCTGGAATACCTGTGCCAAGCATTACCCTCCATGCTGAAACGATCACAGAATAAGCTCCTGGGTGTAATTTGGAAGGACAAACGCCATTTATTGTGTTTTAAGATTCCCATAGCATACACGTGACCCATGTAACAAACTTAGAAGTTGTGTCAGAGATGGGGCAGTATCGCCGCCCCTAATGGCCTCACGTTCACTGTGCTGCATAAAAGTTTATTTACCGCTGGCAGAAATGCGTATCGAACTGTCGAAAGCGTGAACACAGACCTGTGTTATGTTCTGCGACATTTCAGAATTGAGTTTTTTTTTTCCCCTCCTGTTTGTTTGAGGGTAGAAAAGGTAAAGCAGAGCAATTTGAAAAGCCTGTGTTATGAATAATTTGGCAGCTTTCCACTTGTTTTTATTTTTTATTTATTATTATTATTATTATTATGTTTTACTTTGCTGTGCTCCTCTGCTTTTTGACATGGTCAGCAAATCTAGAATATTCTTTGGGGAACATAGCCCCCTGGTTTTTCCCTGCTTCTGTGAATGCTGCACTGAGATTTAGGTGTAAGAGGAAATGTCTTCATAACTACCTTTGGTTTCGAAGTACAGTACATCTTTTTTGAAACGAGTTAGCCACCGAGGCAGCGGCGAAGTAGACGAGCAGTAGACGTGTTGCTCGAGGGCAGCCCAGTCGATCTTGGGGAGGATCAGAAAGGGGGAAAAAAAAAAACGTTGAGGTTAGGTGTGACAAAAACGCATATGTTCTATTGTAGGAACTACATATTGGTTTTTCTCTCTTCATTTGTGGCCTGAAACAAATCATGTAGAAGCTATGAAGTTACAGTACTTTCAATTAAGATTTGAGATGGCGTGACTTGTATTTAATAGTGAGCATTATTTAGCTTTGGTCAAGTGTGGCGGCTTCTATTTAAACTGGATACTCTGACTACATTCTCAACTATTTGGACACATTTGTTCATTTTTATTTCCTATTATTTTTTTTCAAACGTATGTGGATATTATGAGACTTATGGATTCACTCATTGATGTAGATGTTACAGATTGGGCCAGTGTATATTTTGTTATACTTGGTATGTCGAGCCAGTTACTGGTGTGTGTTGTGTGGTTTTGAACTATAACCACTGTCAAGGCCTGAAAATCACGTTGGCCAGGTTTTAAAAAGGGGAGACCATATCTTTTATTGCAGAGTTTATACAATGGAACACCTCGACATTATCACTGCAAGAATACAGCAAATCTTACTGAGGTGTTTGCAGTTGTTTTTTATTTTATTTTTTTTTATTTTTGACTGTTTTTGTTTCATTTTTGTCATTAAAAGCTGGGTTCTTTTTTCTTTTTTTTTAAACAACCCTACATTGTTCACACTACAATTAGTGCTACAGTGTTCCTAAAAGTGTTTTTTTTCTTTCATTTTCTATTATTTTGGACCTTTCTACGGGTCATGTTCATCGAGCGGTTTGTTTTGCATCTCAGGTAGAATGCAAAATTTTAAGCCCACAATGTTGGAAAAAAATATATATATTAAAAGTAAATTTTGTTTATAAGGATCGAGAAACAAATGGCAAATTTTGCATTTTAGCTGTGCGTGTTTTATGTATTTTCTTAATATACAGTGCACTGTATATGATGTGTTAAGTATTTCTTTGTATAGACCTAGTTCACAGAGAACGGATGTTCAGCTTGTTAAGAGATGTAGGAAAGAACAAACTTGTTGTGCTACAATCAGAGTAAATGCTACATGTCACAACAGGTTTGTTGATGGTTTTCAGTGACTCCAAGGAAGTTTGGTCTTTCATCACTCATTGATTTTAGGTTGATTATTTTGTCTTTCTGCTGTACTTGGCAATGTTACTGTGTATTAATGAAGAAAATATCCATATGTTCCCCATACACATTTTGTATTGGTTCATAAATAGACATTTTTACAAAAAATACTGAAGAGTTCTTGTCTTAATAAAAAAAAAGATATTAATGTTCAAAATAACTGTGGTTTGATTTGTGTTTTATCTTTCTATGGACGTTGCTTCTATGGATTGTTCCTCTTATCCTCATCATTGCAGGAGATTTTGTCCAAGGCTGAATGTTTCCTCCGTGTCCTTGAACGTGTTGGAATCTCTACTTGCGAGTTCTTTTTGAATACTTTGAAAACCGGGTCCTTGGTTTTTTTAAAAAAAAAAAAAAAAAAAAGCCCTAGAAAGAAATTCTGGATTAAATGGAAAATGATTGACCACCTTGACAAACAAATTACATAAATGTATTGCTGACTGGTCAGCTGCCGTGTGCGATGCCACTCGTTTCCTGTTTCTCCGATGCTGTAACTTGCAGAGAGAGGCCGTGAATGTGGTGTCCTGTCATTATACAATGTATCATATTATCAGGGTTGCATGCTTTGCGAAGTTCTGACTTGAGTTCCACTTGCCTTCATTCTTTGTTTGACTTTCAGTTTTTGAACCTAATACTTGCTTTCATAATTCTGAAGGATCTGTAGTTTTTAAAAAAGGCATTACTTTGCGGCAAGTCTTCATTCGTGGCAGCTTGATTCAGTTCATTACTGAAATGACTGGATGCATTAACAAAGAAATAGAGGATTGGAGATGATTAAACTCCCTAAGGTGTCGCTATTACTGTAGCAGATTTCCCGCTATATTCTTTAACTCTTTAAGATAACACTGAGCATCTTGTGGGTCCATAGGTCTGTAGCATAAACCACTATTTAACAATATTGACTCCAGTAGATTATGGGTTTCTATCTTCGTTAAGGGTTATAATAACTTTAGATCCTACCTCCATAAGGGTTGGTTTAAGATGTCATCTCCAATAAAATAAATAAATAATAAAAATCCCAATGATGATGGCATATTGTGTTCAACTCATAATCAGAATCCTTTTTTAATTTAATATTTTCTAATGCAACATTTTACTGGGATCTAATTAGTTTGAGTAGTTGTGTTTGAGGGGCGGAGTTTGTTGAACTGAAAACCTTCAGTCAACCTTCAAGCTCGTTTTTCCTCCTCTATTGGTCCTTGCAGATGTGGACCTTGCTGGCTTATGCTCTCTGAGCGTCCCTGGCATTCGAAACTCTTAT